TTTTTTTTTTTTGGTAGTGCTGGAGGGAATGATGGCGCGTGGTGTGAGTCGACAGACGGCGCGCGCATCTTTCCACTCTGTTACAGAGTGAGGTAGGTCTCATAATGTATAGATATCTCAATATAATATTGTTTTTCCTTAGTCTAATTACTCTTTGCTGTCCTTTAAGGGTAACGATCTCAATTATAAACCCCATAATGCATACTGAGGAAGAAAATGGATCAGTAAGTAGTTCGACTCTAAGTTGTGTGTAAACAGTGTTTAAATTGACATGTTTAAAGGGCAATGCAGAAGACTTGATTCAAATGCTTGAACACTGTCCACACCAGGAGTCTTAAAAATATCAAATACAAATTTCCACCCACTGGGGTCTTAGATATTAATTTGATAGCATATCGACCAATAAAAAAACAAATGTTGCAGGAAATGCGGCTGCTGCCAGGTGGTGAAAATGTGGAGAAGTGCCCCAGATCTGGCTAATCTGAGCAGTGAGGCGTGGACTTTTGCAAACTGACCACCACCCACTGCTCACTATTGTGCTCGAAAGCACTTTTAAGCCGTGGTGATATTATAAAAGACCAGGTCGGACTTGGTCCCCAATGCTCTCAAAGCATTTACTGTCAAGTCTTTCTTTCAGTTGCCCAGATAATAAAACATTGTGAGTGAAATGCAAATACTAGCATAAAGACTAAATGTAGTTTTAAATAGGGCCATTTTATTAATATTAATGCAACAAATATGTTGCAGTTCATTAAAAGGACTGCAACGTTGTTCAACACAGAGGTCGGCAGACTGTGACAGTAATGTGCATGAATCAACAAACCTATTTGCTGTCATGGGAGATGAAACATCACATTAGTCACATAAGCCAAATTGACATAAAAAAAACAACTGAAACAACCTGCTGAAGTATGCAAGGGCCTAGATGTATGCTGGCATGCTGTGTGTGTGCGTGTTTAATTTGGCCACAGTTCTCTTTTAGCAGAACTGGGAGGATGGTGTTCATCTCAGTCCAAGTTATGGATGACAGATGCTCTGAGAATAAAATGCTTTGAGCTTCATCCTCACGATATGTGATTCATTAAACTCACCTTTCAAAGGAACGTTCGCAAACTTCTGAATGAGGTTTATAGAGACCCTGGCATTTGAGTAATGAATGCAATTATATGTCAAGCATGGCCCGGATGTGTCTCAGTAAGCACTATATTACATATATGTTTAAGCAAACATAAAAATATGGTGTCATATCTAGTATATAACACAACCATCAAAGATATGAACAGTGACCATGCAAATTCATAACCCATGATGAGTGATTTCAAATGGGACACTCAATGTCAAATTAATCATTCCTTCTGAGAGAATCACTAGCACATATAGATTGATTGAATCTTGCGTGCATTTGTTATGATTGTACATTGCACTTATTGCCCTCCCTATTTTTTATTTTTTTTTTGTCATCCAGATTTTTTTTTAATCAGTAATTCTTTGATTTGGCCATTATTTATTTATTTATTTATTTTTGTTGAAAGGAGTATGCTCAAATTATGGGAAAATGTTTGTTTGACACTAAACACATTTTACATAAACATAATATGCAAGGCAAATTATTCATCTTATTAGGCTCGCAAATGGGTGTCAATGCAAATTTGAGAGACATGTTACCTTTCACTTATTAAATTGTAACCAGAATTTACATGGATACTTGGACAATCGGTAGAAACATCTCAAAAATGCATTGGTTATGGGAAATTGTTTTCAAAAAACCTAAGCAAAAACCGGTGGGAGCTGTGCATTAAAAAGCTCCTGCATTTATTTTTATAGGGTACACTGATTGCTGAATTATGCTGATCACCATCATATTAACTTTGTTTGCAGGTGTTTCCTATTAGAAGTGTAATAGTCTCATGTTGCTCTTCTAATTGCTGACCGCTGTGGCCACATCACGCTCCTAATTTCCGTAACTGTATGAAGCAAAAACTGGTATAGCTTAAAAATAAAATGAAAGCAGCTGATTTAGTGAATTCCTCTCTGTCGTTAACAAATACATAAATATTTATGTATTCTCTTATTCCTTCAAACAAGCATGTGTGTGACTTTGGCAAAAACAAAAACACCTTGCACCAGAGTGAGTGCATTACATAGCGTTCTTTATTGAGGCTCTCATTACAGGATATCAAATGGATGACAATGGAAACCTTTGGAGCATTTCATTCGCTCTGTTCTGAAGCGTGTTAACCTTTAAAGTAAAGCCAGGCTTAGCCTCTTTCCATCTTACTGTAATTGCCCACGCTGGGTGAGCACATTTGGTTGAAAAGGTTATCATCCTCTGATCCAGCTGTTGCAACAAAACAGGAAACAATCCACAGAGACAAACATTTAGGATGTAGGTTGAAGGATAGCGTGTGGCACTCGAAATAGGGCATAGAATTATTTTACAACAATGTCAGTGGAAGGAGTCAGAAGGTCACACTAAATGTTAATTGAGCTGTGGTGGTATGTTGTTATGTTATGTTATATGAAGTCTGTGCATTTTTGCAACCCTGTTACCAATATTTGGGACATGTACAAATACAGTTTAAAACCCTAATTTGTGTGGTTTTATTTTTAACCAGTAAACATTACATAAACACAAATCATACACTACCATTAAAAAGTTTGGAGTCAGTCATTTATTTATTTATTTACTTTTATTCAGCAAGGATGCATGAAATTTGCCAGCAGTAACTGTTAAGACATGTGTAATGTTACAAAATATTTCTATTTCAAATTATGTTCTGTATAATCATCAAATAATCCTGAAAAAAAGTTTACTCTATAATATTAAGCAGCACAACTATTTAAGCACTGAAAATAATAAGAAATATTTATTGAGCAGCAAATCAGCATTTTAAAATGATTTCTGAAGGATCATGTGACACTGAAGACTGGAGTAATTATGCTGAAAATTCAGCTTTTCCATCACATTAATAAATTACATTTTAAACTATATTAAAATAGAAAAAAAGTTATTTCATATTGCAATAATGTTTCACAATATATACTTTTAATTAAATAAATGCAGCCTTGGTGAAAATAAGAGACTTATTTAAAATGTAACATTTAAAAATCTTAACCACAAACGTTTGAACGATTTCAATACATTATTTTATATAGTCTAAATTAAGGCATATATTTCCCATGAATTAAAAAAAGAACATGATTTTTTGTTATAATTAAAATATTATGGTGTAAAAATATTGATGTTCTTAAAATAACTTGGTTAACAGGGTTGAATGGTTGATCTTGATGAGTGCATTCAACACTGCAATTTGTATAAGAAAATGGAATAAGATGATAAATAATGATTTATTGCTAATTAGATAATTAATAGATAAGATTAAATTATATTCAGATATTTAATTAAAATTACCTATTTGTCATAGTATGTTAATGCTTTATGTCGGATAGTTTATAAAATGTATCGTAAAAAAAAAAAAAAAAGCTTTTAAAAAATGGGACACCAAATTGTGCTGTATTTGTCATAGAATATTTATAAGCACTCCCTCCTTTGATGCTCTCAAAACAAACCAGAACAAAACATGACTTTCAAAAACAAGACTCCTGTTTTACCTTTGTAATCATTTCTCTCCTATTTTTAGATCACCATTACTGGGAGGAGGTTCTAGAATCTAATAACCTCCAGTGTGAGAAAGCAACGGTTAAGAGAGGAAATTGCTGGCAGGGAGGCCTTTCCCTCTGGTGCAGTGTTGATAAGTTTAAGGTGGAGGGTAAATAAGAGGTGAGGGCTGTTATCACTCGCTGCTTCTGGCTGCGGATGCTGCAACACTGCTTGCTGGAGCCTGAAAATTCATTTTGACGGATGCTTCCCCTCTCTGGCTGTTAGAGTGCATCTGGGTGGGGAGGTGGCTTAAAGGGCCTCTGAGGCAGCAGTGTTCTCACTGAATGCCATGTTGTGCAAACCTGCAATTTAAACTCTCACGCAGGGCAGTAAAGGTTAGCTCATGATATGCAGAGAGAGATGTGTTTTCAGCCGTTTCTTGAAAATATTAAGGACTCAGCTGCTTGGATTGAGCTGGACAGGTCATTCCACCAGGAGGGAACAGTCAATATAAAAGTCCATGAAAATTTCATCATAGGTAGAATGCAAAATGTTTCAATGTTTGACTGGTGTTGTGGAGTAAAAAGGTTATAATTTTCTCTTTTGTTGGACAACAGGTTTAGAAATGAATACAAGGGAAGTTTAGCTTTAGGCATTTTAATTTAAGCATGTTTAGCTTAGTTAACGGAAGGCTACCTGCTGCCATCAGAGCAAGTGTAATTACTGCATTCACGCGCTCCTCGAATGCTCTCATTTCCCGAGTTGTGCTTTTAAGTCGGAATGTGAAAACAACATGGACACGCTCGTTACTACAAAGTTGTGTTGGATTTTTATTATTAAAGCTTTCCGACTTGAGTTCACGTGCATTTTCTCAGTCGGGAAATTATTTTTCACGTGCGGTGCCGCGATGATGTTTCTTACATCCGTTTCGGAGAACCAGAGGACAAATATTTCAATCGATCGCTCAGGCATGGCACCGAAATGAGGCACCGAAATCTGCGTTCGGATTCGGTTCTAGTACATACTGGTTACATAGGTACCGGTGCCATATTGGTACCGGGTTTCGGTACCCAACCCTATGCAGAGATCCCCGTTACCAATCTCCCCCACATTATTGCCATGTACCGCAAATGCAGGAGACTGAAAAATCATAACGTTAGTGTAGAGAGAATATTTATGTTGTCAAAAACTTTGGTTGTTTCGAAAATCACCAATGATTTTGCAGGTGATGTCATTTACCAACAATATTACTACTATGTAGTAGTGTAGCAGTATATGGCTTATGAATGTAATTTAAGATCTTCTGCTATCCATTGTACTGCGACACTACTCAGTATTACTCATTGTTTTCTCTCCTCATTCTTAGATCGCAAGACATCAATCTGAGGAAGCAGTCGTCCTTCAGAAGGGAACTGCCCCAAAGCATGACCGTCTGTCACTGGGGAGGGTCAGAGAAACGCATTCCTGCAACTCTCATGAACAGTTTGTCATCCCCCTCGTAGGTCCACCTGCGGCCCTGAACACACCCATCTGCCAGCTCAGATAACCCTCAGGCTGTTTGCAACACATGTTTGATGTGATTGGTTGTGACCGCCACGCTTTGCTAAGCAGCCCCACTCTACATCATGCAGTGGCGTCGGCGACACTGCTGCCCCATCAAGATGACCTGGAATGTCAAGCGGTCACTCTTCCGCACACATGTAGCAGGCCTTCTCTCGCTGGCCTCACTCTTTGCCCTCTTTCTCATCTACTGTCACCAGGATTTGCTGCAGGGCCGGAGTTGGTTGCGAGACAACCCCTTGGTTTACACCATGCGGGGTTTGCGCCCCCACAAGGAGCGTGCGAAGGGAAACCAAAGCTCACTGCGAAGCCTCTGGAAAGACAATGGTTATGTGCTCCCCAAACCGTCTGTTAACTTCAATTTTAGTTCTCACCAGGCTGAGGTCACTGCCCAGGGGATTGTGGGATTGGAGATCTCACCGAGTGGCAACAACTCGAGCACTAACAGCAACACCAAGAGCTTACACAGGGAAATGGGAGTGGGAGGGCGTCTGGCAGCCCAGCCTTATCACTGGCTGCTTAATGAGCCCTACAAGTGCAACGAAAGCAGTCCCTTCCTGGTTTTGCTAATTGCTGCGGAGCCAAGGCAGTTGGAGGCAAGGAACGCCATCAGACAGACCTGGGGCAACGAGAGCGTGGTCATGGGTTATGGGTTCGTGCGGCTCTTTCTGTTGGGAAGGATACCTAATGCGTATCCTCAGAGCTCCATTGAGGAGGAGAGCTTGCAGTACCATGACATCATCCAACTGGACTTCTTGGACACCTATTACAACCTTACCATCAAGACGCTTATGGGCATGAGCTGGGTTGCTCGCTATTGCCCGCACGCCCGCTATGTCATGAAGACGGACAGTGACATGTTTGTCAACACAGAATATCTCGTCCAAAAGCTGCTGAAGCCAAACATGGCACCTCGACAGAATTACTTCACTGGCTACCTAATGAGAGGCTACGCTCCCAACCGCAACAAGGACAGTAAGTGGTACATGCCACCAGAGCTGTATTCCAGTGAGAGATACCCTATCTTTTGTTCCGGGACGGGCTATGTGTTCTCGGGGGACATGGCGGCGAAAATCTACAATGCCTCGTTGAGCATCCGTCGCCTTCACCTCGAGGATGTATATGTGGGAATCTGCCTGGCGAAACTGCGGATCGACCCAGTGCCACCACCAAATGAGTTTCTCTTCAACCACTGGAGAGTGTCGTACTCCAGCTGCAAATACAGTCACTTGATCACCTCTCACCAGTTCCAGCCCAACGAACTCATTAAATACTGGGGTCACTTGCAAAGCAACAAGCACAATCCTTGCCTTAACATGGCGAAAGATAAGAGCGGGCGGCCGCGCCATAGGAAATTGCAGTGGGAAGGTCTTCGGTGATTAGCCATGGCTCAGGGTACAGTAGTGTTATCACAGCATGTGCAAAATTCAGCGGTTTATGAGGTAGGGAACAGCACAGTGTTTTTTGGTATTGTCGATTAAAACTATTTTTTTAATTTCAGAGAGATGTTATGTATTGTAAACCTGTCTTTTTAAAGGGAAGTGAGAGACATCTACGTGTGCAATATCTAGCATGCACAACAAAAACCATCCAATGGCAATACCCCGCCATTTTCAGGTGCCAATTAACCAGGACATATTAAGAGGTTGCTGAACATCCTCTTCAAGCTAACGTTCGAGTGATATTACTAAGGGCCAATTTTATTGAGATCCTCATTGTTTCTGTATACAAAAGAAGAAAAAAATCGGGAATATCATATGGTGGTGTATCTGTACTGTGACACATTTGATTCTCAATGATGTCCACCTCTGACATTAAGATGATGTTGATTTTTCTATCTACCTAAAACCTGCAAATGGTTTACTATAACCAAACCAAATTAAAAACAGTATGTGTAAAAGATAATATATGGAATTTAATTGCATCATAGATGTCAGATTAAAATAATATTTTTCAAACCTTTACATTGACTAAATATACAGGTCTGCCCTTGATTAGGGCAAGTTAAAACTATTTATTAAATGTATTTCTTAAGCATATTGTCTCGGAGGTGTGGTCTCTTCCAGTGTTATTCAAATAATATGACACTATCCAAATAATATGTTACTCAGCCAGAACTGAAACCCAATTCTAAAATGCAGTTATATAGATCAGGCACATTGCACTAAACAAATACAATAAAATTGTCATAACTCACAAATAGCCAATGAAAAGTTGAAAACATTTTTGGTTACCTCAGTGACCACCACGAAACTGTCATCAGCATAAATCTGACAAAAGACTATAAATCTGATAAAATAAACATTATTGATAATAATTCACTTCTAATTGACATTTACAGACAGTTGCACACTTCAGTTGCAAAACTAAAAATGTCTTAGTTGTCAAAATTAGCATAATTCATGCAAATTTCAAAACATTATGGAGAAATATCAACATTCAAATCACCATTATGTACTCATTAAATTCAAATGAGACTTGAAAAATCCCAGAATCAGTCCCCAGATGGAACTGAAGACTAATGCGTTGATGATAAAGTAGATAATGTTGCTGTGGGTCAAAATATATAATTAGTAGGGGGGCTTCACAACACATTAGCAGAGAGTAATCCAATTAAATTGACGCTGGCAACATTTGAAGGGTTTATTTATCATTTTCATTACTCATTTGTCAGTCTAATTTTAATTAACCACATATTCGAGTGACTACGATAAGTGCTAGATGCAGAATTTGCACATCAATTACAGGTGACTCAGAAGACATTTCAGTGTACCCTTCTTACAAATCATAAGCACTTGAGTTTCACAATATAACAGTTATTGTGGCACAAACCAGCTGCTTCATTTCCAGGCCTATACTTGTTGGAAAACTTGAGTAAATACTAAAAACAGACTTTGACAAATAAAACCGTAACTCTTTTGAAGATAAAAGACGGGACTTTACTTTAGAGTAAGAATGAAACAATTTACTTGCACATTCTTAAGTTTTTATGTCACTTCTTTGTTATATAAATATAGTAACAGGAAGTGGTAAAGACTTGTTTATGAACTGCAGTAACTTCATTTATTGGCATGTCATTTATCTCATAATGCAGTCATCAGTGATGTATCATGTAAAACAGATCATTTTATGAGTTTACTTCTTACAAATCATAAGCACCCTGAGTTTCACAATTATTATGGCATAATGAGTCATTTCATTTCTAGGCCTATACTTGTCCTTGGAAAGTTTGGTTTTATGTAAACCCAGAAATTCTAAAAACAGACTTTAACAAAGGAAACATAACTGTTTTGAAGAACTTTAGAGTAGGAATGGAAAACTTTTACTTGCATGCTCTTGAGATTTCACATCACTTCTGCCTAATATAAATATAGTAACAAAAAATAAGAAGTGCTAAACTTGTTTATGAACTGCAATAACTTGAAAATTTCGGTGCAGTCATTTATCTGTTAAAATATTTTGTAAAACAGATCATTTAATGCATCATATGGACTATAAATAAATCACTAGTTTAAATGTGACAATGTAACACTCAAAACATGCAAATTTTCCAGAGAATCTGGAGATTTCCAGGACCTCATTGCTATAGACCCTAAAACCATCTGTTAAGAATTATGTTCTTGACGGAAGTCAATTCACACAGCAACTTGCAATTCCAGTGCATTGCAATCCATTAAATCCTCATCTGTTGTTAAGCATTTATCTCCCTCAATTAATAGGAATCAAAGTCATGGCCAAGGGCAAGAGAATATAACAAACAGAAGCATCTTTCATTCAGCCGTGCCGTGTGCAGTCACAGAGAAAGATTAGAACACTTCATCCACAACACTTTGTCCCACAGATTTACCAGAAAAAGAGAAACCGGGGGAAAAAATAACTGGGGGCGAGTGATGAATGAACAGGAAAGAGACTGTGACTGATCAGTATTGAAAACCTGTGCTGCTCTAAACGTGTGAAAAGTGAACCTGGGAAAAGAACTCTGATGTCCACCATGATGGAGTGGGTCGCCGAAGGCCCAGACCCAGAGACATGTTTCCAGAAATATAGCAGGTACCAGAGTATGATGAATGTCCCAATAGTACCAAAAGCCTACAGCACAGCAATGAGAATGAAGAAGAGAAATTCTCATTGAATCAGTAGGGTGTAATTTTGTGTGGTCATTTTTTGATATGTAAACATATAAAGCGAATTCAGTCAAATTATTCAAGTGTTGTCAATATTTTAAGGTCTAAAACAGTTTTGGCAGATTTTTTAGATGACATCGGATGCAAAATTCACTTTTACATGGCGTTTGCATATAAATGTGTCTTACAGTGTGTGGACACAACCACCCTACAATAATAAAAATCCATTCACTCCTTTTTTTTAATCCCCAAAAAGCGTAAAAGTATGTTGCAGACATTTCATGAAGACCCTAAAGAATCATACCAACTTGTGAAAATGGGCATGCGATGTACCCTTTAAGGTAATTCGTGAGCTAGGGCAGCACGATTAATCGGAATTAAATCGCAAAGGCGATAAATCTCGATTAGGCAGAAGCTGCGGTTGTCATGCCTATCTTTCAGTGAAGCATGGTTCTGTGATCAGCAGTAAATCTCCATCCGAAGGCCAGAGGGCGCTCTCGCGCTGAAACTCAGAAAATCCCTATAGCGGTTGCTGAATAAACAGAAGATTTAACTGCTTTCATTAATTCAACGTGACTAATGAACACACGACTACGACAATATATGGTTTATCTGAGTTCATCTTATTATAATTTGTATTATAATAAAGTATATAATAATGCAATACTAATCGACATAGCCTTTATCACTGCTTAGAATATAATGAAATATGTTGCGTGCCTTATTCTGTGTAAGAAGCCACATCATCTCAAACACTCGACTGATGTTATGAAGTGAGTTTGGAGTAAAAACATGTTATTAAATGTGGTATTTTCACGTGCTTTCAGATGGAGCAGCATTTACTACACAGAGCCTTAGTTCACTGACAAGCTACGCAAACAGCTTTCATAATCGCAGAACGATTTCTTCGATTTCATAATCGCGTGATTAAATCGACTGCGATTATGAACACGATTTTGTGTAGCTTGTCAGTGAACTATGGCTCTGTTTAGTAAAGGCTGCTCCATCTGAACGCACGTGCTGGAGATTTACTACTAATCACAGAACCAGCTTTACTGACAAGATACGCATGACAATCACATTCGATTAATCATGCAGCCCTATCCTGAGCCCACATGCTTCACTGTCTATGATTTTGAGTTGTTGGCGCCTTTCATGTGGAAACAGGTGAGGAATTGGGGATCATTGTTGGGACATGTACAACACGGCGCTAAACCTCTCCTTTATACCCACTGAATAGCAACCACTGTTAAATCACACAGAGTGGTCTTTTAATAACCAAGTTTACAAGATCTGTTGTGCAAGTAAACATACCTTTTTAATTGAAATATCCGGCAAGTCGGATTAGGTAGAGCACTTTTTCCTTGCAAGGCTACCAGACCATGCCAAATTTAACGTTTAAGAACATCGTGAAGAATTTCAATCAATTTAGCTAAACCCACTTTCCTCATTAGCTCAGACACGTTCATTCAGACAGCAAATGGCAGCAAAAATATAAATAAAAACCTGTGAATACTACATCGGAGTCAATTACATGGTGTTCTTTTTGTTCATATCTAATGGTTTATTAAAAAATGACACTTCTATGATGAGCATGTTTTTAATTTCTGAATGAATATTCATTTTGATATTTTGGGGGGCCGTAAAGTGAAAAGGGTGATACTGTCCTGAACTCAGAATAAAAGCTTCATTAAAATAATTAAATTCTTAAAAACAAAAACTGCTTAAGTAGTTTGGCATAACCTTTTTATTATTATGTCTTAGAAAATATATATATTTGTAACATTTTTTAAACAATGACGAGTAGACACTGAACTTGGCACATATTTCATATAGATTTTTTTTTTTTTTAATTCCTTTTCTTTGTAATGGACACTCTTATTTCCCATTGACCCCCTCATTACGATGAATAACCTACAGGAGAACTGAGCAATGCAGGATTACTTTTGTGCAAAACAAATACAACTCTTCTCCATTCTGGACCTGATTGAAAACATTCTCCTCATGGATGTTTGCCAAAGTAGAACTGTAGTGAGGAAAGATAGTCCTAGACCAGCACTTAAGACCATCTCCTTTAAGGAGCACAACACTTCACAATTTCTCTGAGCAGTAATGGCTATGTTTTCCGGGAGATGTCCAAATGGAAAAATCAATGTGTTGATCTGTTTTGAGGTGTAGAAGCTGAGAAGGACTTGCTTTCATGATAGCAGCACTGCTATAAAAGGCTCTTGAAAAAGCTGACGAGGAACAGACCCCAATGCTATTTTTGACCACATAACACGCGGCAACAAAGGCCCATCCTTTATAACCCTCATACCCCTTTATCTGTTAAAACACACTGTAAACAAGCTTTATATCCAACATAATGGCCTCCAGTGGTCATTTGTTACTTCTGGCTAAATTACTTGTTGCCTCTGAGGATCATTCACACTATATGAACCCTTTGTAACCCAATGACAAGCTAACACTGATTTCATTTTTTTTTGTTTTGTTTTGTTTTTCATCAAATGTCAACGATGGCTGATGGCTGACATTTGTTGTAAATATTCCAAACATTGGCTCTCTTCCACAATGTCCTGATTCCAGCACCAGATAGACAGGGTGATGGAGTATAACTAATTATCATGGACCATGTGTTAGCAAAACCAAACATGCAAGAGATCTTCATCAACAAAAGATTATATACAATTAATGGGTGCGTATCTTTGTATAATTTCTCATATCCACCAACTCCGAAGCAATTTTGCTCAAGATATTAGATGATAATAGCTTTAAAATGAGCTTATATAGCACGTTTTAACTAAAAATTCCTTCTAAAAAATTGACATTTAATTTTTATACATTTTTGTGTGTGGAAAAAATCCATACTTCAACATGAAAAGGCTTGTATATTTCACAGCCAGTTGTTAATTATTCATAAAAACTGAATATTCATAAATATTGAATAAATATTCATTTGAGTCTGACTCAAACCTTATTTATGACACGCATTTTCATTGAAGACTGTTGGTTATGCAACAGCAAATATCTTAAAAAATGAATCGTAGTTATTTTGTTTTATCTCGGTTTAATTAAAACCTGACAGATCTCCTCACATTCATGACATTAAAATCACATCTTAAAAGTCCACAAGAAGAAATATGCCATAAAATGGTTCACATTTCAAAGATTTTGTTGGCACAGAGGTTCAAACACTTCAAGTTCGCATGAATTTTTAATTGCGCTATCGATTGATTTAGTGGTCCGCAGAGTCTGTGCCAAAGCGACAAACCCTGACCATTTCTGTTTACAGTGAATTCATAATTTATGACGCTTAGTATTAATGTGAACTTGAGATAACCATAATAGTTCAAACTCTCTGAGAATGCCATTAACAATCATATAAATTAAAATACCCACAATGTTAATGTTTTCCTATGAAACGTTCTGATACATTCGACTGCTCCGCTTTGAAAATTCCCAAAAGGAAGAACCCTTGCTATTCTCAGCTGTCATTTATTTAATTGGAAAAGCATATTTATCTAAAAAAAAAAAAAGCTGCCTGATTGCTGGAGGGTCTTAAAGCTTTAAGTCTCACTTCCCATGAAACACAGTTCGTTAGAGTGCACATAACAGCAGACCCCTCAACAAATTCAAACTGTCAACTGGAGCAAGACTCCAGGGTTGACTGCTTCCCTAGCATGTGTAATATAACCAGATAGACAGCCAGTATGTCAGTCTGG